TGCAGTGGGTTCAGCTTCCCGCTCACCGTGGGGAGAGCTCGTTCTCCTGAATGGGAGGGCGTGTCCCTTTGTGCGCCCTTCGGGATGCGGGTGCGATTGTGCCTTTGCTGCGGGAGCCAGAGCTCCCGGCTGCTCCCTCTCTGCAGCTCTGCTGGTGGCCATGTCCTGCCTCAYCTTTCCCTTCTCTACCAGGTGGATGGGTGCACCTGAGGTCTGGTTTTGGTTTAGGGGAGCTGCTTCCAGGTCCCCTCTGGGACCATGAGCTGGGAAGTGACTCAATATGAACTGGGGACCTCTTGGTTGCACTTTGCAGTTCTGGGGTTTTGCTGCTCAGAGAACAAGCTGCATTTGTGTCACCTGTTCATCCTTCTCCTGGAGACATCCTGAAAGCCTTTGCCTGGCTGAGGTTGTGCTGTTGCTTCCACCTTAAATGGCTGTTGATTAAATGCTTTTTTGCCCCTTTGTGCAYCCAGTTCTCTCTTCCTGGATACTTCAGACATTTGGTGGCAGGACCCACCATCCCCCCAAGCAGAGGCAGCGTCCTGGGATATGGCAGAGCTGGCAGCTGTGTGTAAGGCAGCAAGTGAGAGCTCAGAGCCGAGCCACCAGGAGGGGAGCAGCACAGAGGAGCTCGATGGGCAGGAGCCAGATGTGCAGGACCCGGTGAGTGCCTGCCTGCTTGGGSAACCAATTTTCCCCGGTGGCCAAAGGAAATGGGGAACTTTTTACACCTGGGGTGTCCCTTCTCTGTGTGCTGCTTGTGCAACTCTCGGTTTGGGATTCAGGAGCTGGAGGCCATCAAAGCCAAGCTGCTGGAGATAGAGAAGGAGGATAAGAGGTTGAGGGAGTTGCAGCTGGAAGCTGAGAGCCACCTGTTCATGAATGCCGAGGCAGGTATGTGCTGTCCCTCCAGGGACACCCCTGGGGCACAGGGTGACAGTGGAACCASTGTTTGGCTCTGCCTCGCCAGGCACCTGGGATTGGACATATAAGGTGGGGTCCCAGGCCTGCTGTGGTGCTAATGCAGATTCTGTCAGCTCTTACCAACTCCCTGTGTGGGCCCAGATGCAGTAAATTAATTTAGTTGCATTTAATTCAATTAAGTAATTGAGTTTAGCACCAACAGCCCCGGTAGAGGAGCCACTGCAAAGAGAAAAGGGGTGAGGGGGTGGAGGAGGAGGCAGCAGTGTGGGGTTTGGATACACATGGCTGTCACAGTGATGTGAGGAGCTTTGCAGTGTGCCAGCTGGGTGGTGGCTGTGCTGGGGTGCTGATGTCCCTCTGCATGTGACAAATCCCTCCTCTCCACAGTTCTCTTCCCAGTGACAACCAAGGAGAAGGTGGAGGCTGACCAGCGTTCTATCTACGTGGGCAATGTAAGTGGGAGCAGAGCCCTTCCCACGGCTGTGCCCAGCTGGGGCTCTGTCCCAAACCCCTGCCATGGGGCCAAAGGCTGGCTGTTCCCATCCCAAGTGTTYCTCTTCTGCCCTGCCCAGCCTGGGAGTGTGGCTCAGCATCTGTGTGGAATTCTCAGCCACTTGCAGATCATCTGTTGCAAGTGCCAGCGCCCCAAAGSCCCCTGGAAGCTGTGGGTTGTGTGGTGTCACTTTTCTCCCCAAAACCGGGCTGGTCGTTATTTGGATTTGCATTTCCAGGCTGGAGCACTGAGCTGGGAGGGTTCCCTGAGGCTGTGCTGGAGGGGTGTGAGTGGGGCCAGCTGGGCTCTCTGCCTCCCACACCCACTGGGACTGTCCTTGCAGGTGGATTACGGGGGCACAGCAGAAGAGCTGGAGTCTCAYTTCAACAGCTGTGGGCTGATCAACCGGGTCACCATCCTCTGTGACAAGTTCTCAGGCCATCCCAAAGGGTCAGTGCTGTGTGCAKGGAGGGGATGGGGTCTCTGGAGCTCCAGGGTGTCTCTGCTCACCCTGTTCCTTCACAGATATGCCTACATCGAGTTTGAGGAGCAGAGCTCTGTGAAGGCTGCGGTGGAGCTGGATGAGAGCGTGTTCAGGGGCCGTGTCATCAAGGTGAGAGCTGGGGGTGCTGCACCCACCTTTCTCCCACCCCTGGGTGCCAAATCCCAGCTCCAACAGCCCTTCCCCACCTTTCCAGGTGCTGCCCAAGAGGACCAACATGCCGGGTATCAGCAGCACCGACCGCGGTGGCTACCGGGGCTACTTCCACTCCCGGGGAGGGCTGGGCCGCTGGGGAGGCTACTATGGGGGGCAGCACCCCAGGCTGCGAGGGAGAACCTACAGGTGAGTGCTGGGCCAGGGATTCCTGGTGTGTGGAGCAGGATGGCATTCCCTGCCCCTTGCTCCAGCTCTGCTCTGTGCCTCCTCCCACCCTGGCATGGATGGGAGGATGGAGAAGGGCTCTGGCAGGAAGGAAATCTGAAAAATTGGTGTTAACAGGAATTCGGGGAGTGGTGGGTGGGTGTTGCATTCCCAGCCTGACCAGTCCCAGAGCTGTGCCTGGATTTGGGGTTGCCYTGGTTTTGGGGGCACAGCTGGTGCACAAAGGGGAATCCTGGCCCTTGGAAGGGTGATGGAGCAGGGTGCAATGCCCTTGTGCTTCAGGATTCTGGTTTTGTTCCTGTTTAGGGGTCGGGCAAGGCTGCTGCCTTGGTATTTTCCATACTAGAAAATGCTGGACTGCTGGTGATGCCGAAGGGACAGAAATGAGGAGATGGGATTGGAGAGATTTAAAAATATGCCTACCCAAGCCAAAAAACAGATTAATTTTAAAAAAAAGCCATCTGCCTGGCGGTGAGGATTACTGGTGAGCCCCGTGCTGGGCTGCAGGAGGGAAGATGGGATCTGCTGCATCCCAGGAGAGCTCAKCCCACCTCGGCTCTGCTCAGGAGATGGCACAGAGGAAAGGCTTGTTCCAGAGAAAACTCTGTCCTGGGAAGGGAAGAGCTCTCCTAGAGCATCAAGTCTCCTCCTTATCCCGTGGAAAAGGGCAATTCTGAGGGTTTGGTTTGCCTCCTGGCTGTCTGGATGCCCTCCATGAGCCTCCYTCAGCTCTGCCAGCTCTTCTACAGCAGCTGGATGCTGCCTTCTCTTCTCCTAAGATCCTAAAGACTGTATTCTGTCCCAAAACAATGGAGAAAGTTTTGGGTTGCAGCTCAAGATCTGTTTGCTGGGGAGCTTTACCTTCATCAGCCCTGTGGATGGGACCTTCCTCTTGGGAAGGAGCTTGATGTGGTTTGGGTCTGGTTTTAGCTCGCTGTGTTTGTACAGCCAGGACAGGGAAAAAAACATCCTTTGTTTCTCTGGAAGTCTCTGTGGTAGTTAAACAAGACCTGGGTGTCACAAAACCCCTTCCCCTTTTTTTATTTTGGATGTCAGCAATTTCCTCTTTCCTCCCTCTGTCTTTTCTTCTAAAGCTCCTGGGATGAAAGGTTGCTCCTCATTTTCCTTTATTTCTTGCAGTAGCTGCACTACAAAATCACCTTCACTGATGCAGTTCTGGCCTGCTCTTCCTCTTTATTCCCCTCACCATTCCTGCTCTGGAGTCACACTTGGGGATGGTGGCAGCCCAGCTGGAGGCTCAGGACCAAAGTGCACCACAGGGGCTGGGTACCAGGGAGAAGAGAAGGTTCCTGACCCTTTCTTTTCTCGTTGATTTTCTGTTCACGAGCTCTGAAGTTGTTTTGTTTTCAAAGGAAAAACGTTGTGTTAGAAGAGGCAGGCCAGGAACCCCAACAGGCAGCATTCCTGGGGGGAAGTTCTGCATGGAAATGGGTTTCATTATGTAATTCTCCCGCTAATCTTTCRGGATCCTTGGTTAGGATTCCTCTAACCCAGATGCAACAGATGCAACTGCCTCCTAAAGCAGCTTTTCACAGCTCAGGGGCATTGCCAGGCTAAAAATCCCACTGATATTTTTTTTTCCCTTTAAGATCTCTATTTTTTTACAGCTTGGGGCCTTTACTCTTCATGTTGTGTTGATGTTGTGCTCAGTGCTGCTGAGACTGACCTTGATTTGAGCTACCTTTAGGCTTAGACTATAAACCAGCTTTTTCTAGAGCTTCTGTTTGATATGATAATTAAGTTTTGAGATTTATTTTTTTAATAAAAAATACTTAGTGGTGTTTGGACTCTCGTGGAAGAGGCAACACYGAGTGGCTGTCTCTGAGTGAAAACAGCCAAGACTTTTAGATTAAAATGTTTGGGGATAGCAGTGSACAGCTGTGCCTTTTGGAGATGCTGGGAGAGGCTTGAATCTCCCATCATTTTCCAGGTGGTTGTTGATAAAATGTGTTTAAGTTCTGTTTGAGAAAGTATTTGTAACTGTTCCTTACTTTTAAAATAAATGATCCTGCTGTGTGAACTTCATGTGCAGTTCTGCTTTCTCCTGGGACCCTCTGGAGCTGGGCAGCTCTGTTATTTTTAACTGRTTTCTGATTTTTAACTGATGAGGTGCATGGAGTAGAGGTGAGAAGCACTGAGCAGCTGCTCCTGCTTGCATGGCCTCTGCTGAGCCTGGAGTGATGGAGCTGGGATGCTTTTCCAGTGCAATTTGTGCCTTTTTTCCATTTAAATACCTGCTACTGATTTGGGAGTCTTTAATTAGAACAGCAAGGAGCTGCAGGGGGGGGAGATGCTAATGGGGATTAATTTGGGATGAGCAGGCAGCTGTGCAATCCTGATGGTTTAATCCATGGGTGGATGAGGTGGATTTATTCCAGCTGTGCTACCTGTGCTGGCAATCACTGTGGATAGATGAGGTGTAAAGTGATAACAGCAAACTGAGAAACCCAGAAATCATCCCAGGAAAGGATGTTGGAGCTTATTTTGTTCTAGTGGGGTTTGGAACAGCCTGGGACAGCAGAAGGTGTCCCTGCCCATGGCAGGAGGTGGAATCAGATGGGCTTTGAGGTCCCTTCCCACCCAAACCACACCCAAATTATGATTCTGTGACCAGTGATTTCTGCTGTGCTCAGGTTTGCTCGAGTACAAATCCAGGCAAACCTTGCAGGCATCAGGTTTATTTTACAGAGAATAAATTTTAAATTATTACACAGAATGGAATATTTACAGCATTGCAGGCATGCTCCTGCACACAGGGAATGTTTCCCAGGGGGATGGGAAGGGGTTYAGCACACCTGCATCATCATGGAGTTCACCATAGTATCAAAAGCCCTGCAGAGGGAAATAAACACAGATTATTAAAGGCAGCAGCTCATTGTGCACAGCAAAGCTTTTGTAACAAAACCACTTCCTCACCCTGCCTCTGCCTGGCTTTTTCCCTCAGCTGGACATGGGGTTTTACTCTGTACAGCACAGGTTGTTTTAATTAAGCTGAAGTAAGAACAGGTCCTATCCTGCTTGTAGCCCTGTCTCTGCAAAGTGTAAAAGAAGTTGTTCTTGCCTAGGCCATAGAAACTCCTAATCTATTAAAATTCCTTGTGAGATTACAATGGGACCACTGGCCCTTGCACATGAGGAATTCCATGTGTTGAATGTTTGTCCCTATCTGAGGATAAACCCTGGACAAGGACAGCTGATCACTCTAACCTGTTCTACATACCCAGATTTTAATACTCACAATTATCAAGTTTGCAAAACCCCTCTAAGACCATAGAGTCTAACCACTGCTTACCTCTTTTTTTCAGGTAATTTTTTCTCCCCAAAAAATACATTTTCTCGACTTAATGTTTGGAACATCAGTTGAGGGTGGGAGTGAGAGTTCAGTGTAGGTTTTTATGGCACCATCAGTTGTTTGTAAGGTARACTCCTTAAGGTATTTAGAGCACACACACCTGAACTGGCCACCCACAGAGCTGGTCCTGTTGCATCAGGGGCACCCTGAAAGTTCCACAAAGGTGGCAGAGACAGAGATCCATGTGGACAACCCACTCACCTGGAATGGATCCTGTCCCCAGGGTTATAGAAGGGGTTACACATGATGTCTGTGTAGGAATTGTGCAGCTTTCGGAACATCTGCAAAGGGAGTGGAGGTGTATTCATTAATTTTTTTTGTTTCTCAGCACTTCCTGAGTAGCTGGAGGGAGCAAAGCCACCGAGGTGGCTCTGCTTTGGTGCACTCACACTGCGGATCTCGTTGTCCCTCAGGGCTGTGTTGGAGGAATCCACCACCATGACAAACTTCACCTTGGAGTTGGTCACGTAGCCATAGCTGGGCAGGGGTTAAGGCTGTGCTCCTGACACACCAGGGSCTGGCAGGAATGTGCCCAGAGGGACACACTGAGAGGGAACATGAGGGGCAGACACGGAGCTGTTCTCTCTGTGGGTTGGGACAGGGCCAGGGGAAGGCTGGAGCTGTGTCAGGGGAGGTTTGGGTTGAATATCAGGGAAAGGTTCTTCCCCAAGAGGGTGCTGGGCATTGCCCTGAGGCTGCTAGAGCTCCAGGAGCATTTGGACAGCACTGCCAGGGGTGCCCAGGGTGGGATTGTTGGGGGTCTGTGCAGGGACAGGGGTGGCACTGGATGATCCCTGTGGGTCCCTTCCAGCTCAGGACATTCTGTGATTAAACTAAACCCACAACGGCCTGACCAAAGGCATGACAAAGATACACTTTGTAGTCTTCAGTGGGGTAGAGCAGCCCCAGGTACAGCTCCCTCTGGTCCACCAGGGCTTTGCCCATGGCTGAGATCTTCTCATCCACCACATCCAGGGAGGTGTGCACAGTGTAGTGGAACTTCAGCTCATTCTCYGTGGGGACACTCCGGATGTAGAGAGGGTAGTTCTGGGGAGAGGACAAATCACCCTGACTGAGCCATGCTGATCTGTCAGAACTGTTTAACCATTTATGCTCACAGGGCAGCTCCTCTGGAGCGCTGCTGTCCCTGTGGCAGGAGAATCATTTGCACAGGCTCAGGTTTCTCTGCTCTCCTGTCCCAGCAGAGCCTGGGCTTGTCTCCTCCCAAGGAAAATTCCTCTCCTCTCCCAGGAGCAGGACAGCCCTGAGCACCCCACACTGTCCCTGTGCTGGCTGTCCCACCCCTGCTCCCCTTCTTCCCCACTCCCCTCTATCTGCTCTGTTCAATCCAGACCCCACAATCTGAGATCCTGCCCATTCCCCTACCCCTCACCTGCCCGCGCAGCCCAGTCCTGTCAGACCCCAAACCCCGAGCCCCAAACCCCACTGCCCCCACCTGACCCATGTTCCCCACAACCCGAGGCCCAGCCCGTTCCCCGCTCTGCCCTCACTGCTCGGCCTGGCCGTAGTCAGGCCCCACACCGTGTCCTGGCAGTGTCCCCGCCGTGTGTGTCCCCGCTGTGGCCGTGTCCCCGCCGTGTCCCGTGTGTGTCCCCGCTGTGGCCATGTCCCTGCCGTGTGTGTCCCCGCTGTGGCCGTGTCCAGGCCGTGTCCCATGTGTGTCCCCGCCGTGTGTGTCCCTGCCGTTTGTGTCCCCGCCGTTCGTGTCCCCGCTGTGGCCGTGTCCAGGCCGTGTGTGTCCCCGCTGTGGCCGTGTCCCTGCCGTGTCCCGTGTGTGTCCCCGCTGTGGCCGTGTCCCCGCCGTGTCCCGTTCGTGTCCCCGCCGTGTGTGTCCCCGCTGTGGCCGTGTCCCGTGTGTGTCCCCGCTGGGGCTGTATCCCCGCAGTGTCCCGTGTGTGTCCCCGCTGTGGCGGTGTCCCCGCCGTGTGTGTCCCCGCCGTTGGTGTCCCCTCACCTCTTTGGCGATCACGGCGATGCACACCGCCATCTTGGCCCCGCCCCTCCCGGCCGGTCACGTGCGGCGCGCGCAGGCCGTGTGGCGGTGTCACGTGAGGCGCGGGCCCGGTTGCCATGGCGAGCGCGGCGCTGAGGCCGCTGTGCCTCTGCTGGCTCCTGGGCCCCGCCGCCGCCGCCACCCCAAACATCCTCCTCCTCCTCATGGACGACGTGAGTGGGGGTCCAAGGGGGGAGTCCCGGCGGGCGGGGGGTGGTGGCTTCTCCAAAATGTCACCCCGCGCGGTGTGACATGGATCTGGAGCGTCTCCCTGAGGAGGGGACGCTGAGGGAGCGGGGTATGGTCACTGTGGAGAAGGGAATGCTGAGARGGGATCCCATCAATTCCTATAAAAGTCTCCAAGGGGTGTCAGAGGGTGGTGCGGGGCTCTGTTCAGTGGTGCCAGTGACAGGAAGAGCAGCAATGACCAAAAACCAAACCACAACAAGTTCCACTTGAACATGAGGAAGAAGCTCTTCCCATGGAGGATGCAGAGCCCTGGAACAGCTGCTCAGGGACAGCAGAGAAGGAATCTCCCTGTCTGGAGACATCTGAAACCCACCTGGACATGTTCCTGTGTGCCCTGCTCACAGGAAATAAAATGCCCTGTGCATTTTATTCTGCCCTGCATATTTATTCTGCCCTCCAGAGCTCCCTTCCWACCCTAAWGATTGTTAATYAYAAGGAGGAGGTTGGTGGCCTCCTGAAAAACTAAGCAAGAAGAAAAGTAATTCTACTMATTTTTGCTATCTGAGTTGGGGATGTGTCGTGGGTTTAAACCTGATTTTTCCCAAGTTCCAGCAAATCCCCCCCACCACCAAAAATCGGGCCAAATAAAACCATGAYAGGAGGWAAAAAAGACAATAAATCGGKCCAAGTAAAACCATGACAGGAGGAAAAAAAGGCAATAAATTATTTAAGAGCAGAAATAATCACAGATTATTTCTAACCCAAACTCTTTTCAGTTTTGCACCCATGGCCACATGAATAAGGAAATATATCCATTCCCAGCAGGTTCACGTTGCTGTCATCTTCCTGCTTTGTTTTTCTCCTAGTATTTTCTGGTCACCTTGCAGGTGTATTTATGGTGGAAATGTATTTGTTGCTGTTTGAAGCTACTCAAGGAGCTCACGAGGGTGTGCAAACCCTTCCCACCTGTTTGCCAGTTTATGCTGCCTGTTGTTTCCATGGTGCTCCTACACTSCTGAGTAGGAAAATCACCTTTCCTTCCAGCCATCTGAGCCTCTGGCAGTGTCTGGAAGGAGCTGCACGGGGAGRTTTGGAGTCCCCATCCCTGGAGGTGTCCAAAGAAGGYCTGGATGTGGCACTRAGTGCTCTGGGCTGGGGACAAAGTGGGGATGGGGCACAGGCTGGACTGGGATCTCTTTCCCATCCTCAGTGATCTGTGATCTCAGTTTTCCATTCAGGAACATTCCCCAGCTCCAAGCTGGTATTTGTAATTTTCCAGAGGAAGCTTTTTGGAGCAGTGATTCTCCCCTTCCAGAAGTGTTGCTGCAGCACGAGGCACAGCTCCTGTCTGGAGCTTCTGTGAACTATTGATTTATTTAATATATTCATTAAAGATACATCTCCCTGGGTTTTTTCCTTGATCCTCTGGGACTCTGTGGAATTAGAGCAAYGTGAGATTCTTTTTGTCTTTCTTCCTTGATGATAAAGAAAAATCGAGAAKTCGGGGGTGAATCCATTGAAACCATTTTAATTCCACATCCCGGTGTCAGGGGGAACCATTTAATTGCTCCTCATCTCAGAAACCAGCTCTGCAGCTCTCCAGCAAATTTTCTTTTCTAAACTGGAGGCACCAGGTGGTTTCCTGAGGATCTGGATGCATCCCAGCCTGTGCATCCATTGCTCACCTGACACACACCTGGATCAAAGGAATCTGCAGCCTTTTCTAAAGCACAATAGAACCCGCAGCACCTGGGGTGAGCCTAATGGCTCATTAAACTGTTCCCTTCTGGAACCTTCTGCCTGAAGCTGAGCTTTTCCCWGTAATGCTTTTCAGGAGGAACACAGACACTGTGATGAGATTTTATGGTTCTCCTGGCATGTGACCCCTCGGAATCAGGAGGAAGAACAGGGTGAAACCACCATCCTGCAGATAAGCACAGTGACATGTGATGCCTCTGGCAGATTCCTCTGCCTTTTAAAACACTTCCTTGCTTTTCCTGCAGTGCTGCTTTTGAGTTCAGACCTTTTCCTTGTGCTTCCAGTTCTGCAGAGGGATAGATCCAGAGGCTGAGGTGGAATGCTGGGGTCCAGCACAAGGAAATGTGGGCAGGGACTGAAGGCTCACACGTGGCAGCTGCACAGCCCCGAGTAAATCATGTGTAACTTCCTCTTCCTCCTTGCTCTGGGTGTGCCTCAGGCCTCTGAGTAAGAGTGAAGGCACTGGGCTTCTTACAACCGCTTTAATACCTGTTAATAAATCATTTAATCCCACATTTGCCTCAATTTCCCACCCACCRGGGAAAAGTGTAAGAGTTCCCTGCTCCACAGGGCTGGCAGAGATTGTTTTTGTCACATTTGTGAAGTCCTGAGTAGGGAGATGAGCACAGAAAAAAATTATAAATTAAAGGATACAATAAAAGTATTATGTCAGCTCAAAAATGGGGCTGTGGAAAAGGAGTTCTCCATCTTGTGGTGTGTTCCTTTTACAGATGGGCTGGGGGGATTTGGGAGTTTTCGGAGAGCCTTCTAAGGAAACTCCTAACCTAGACCAGATGGCTGCAGAAGGGATGCTTTTCCTGGATTTCTACACTGCCAACCCCCTCTGCTCTCCCTGTAAGTAAACTGCTGTTGAAACCATGTAAGCATGAGAAACATCTCCTCCTGAGAAGGTTGGGGTGTGTGCCAGCCTCTGACATGAACTAACAACCAAAGCAGWGATTGCCCTCAGGCCGGGGATTGGATTTGCTGCTTTGATCTTGTGTTCTGCTCCCTTTTTATTTATGTTTGGATTGGAAAACAGACAGTTTTCAGTTCATACAAAGCACTGGTTCAGTGATCAGTCCACCTAAAGGATTCTTATACCATTTCACTTCAGTCATTGCATATTCCAACCCCAGTCATTGCGTTTTTTTCATCTTTCTCATTTTGGGTTAGAAAAAGCAGGATCTAAATTGTTGCTGAATATATTTGGTCTGATTCTGTTGGCTCTGGTAAAACTTTCATGCAAGGAAAGGCAGCAGGTTGTGTCCTGCTTTTGACCCTGGTGTCTTGCAAGGCTCCTRGGACAGGGACAAGAGATAAAAGGAATGTTTGGGTCTGGGAGAGGCAGATATTTTTCTCCTTATTGTTTTTTTTCTGTGAGGTGGTTTCTTTTTTTGCTTTCTTTTTTTTCCTCAACCATGATCAGCTGCCAAGAACTGGAACAAAAAATGAAGAACAGGGGCTTTTTATTTGGACTCTCATTTAAGATAGCACTTGCCAGTGTGTTGATGATGTCCTTGCTCAGAAAAGGCATTTAAAATATGCTGAAATCCTGCTATGTCCAGTGGTGGGACTGCTTAAGGTTAAACATCTGTTTAAATGTTCCCTGCAGGCAGGACTTGACTTTTATTGTCAAAGCTGGACAGCTCTTTCTTTGTATTTCATGATTTTTGTTCAGTCAAGCTTGAAAGCTTAGCCTTGAGCATCGAATCAGTTTGTGCTAGGATTTCCTCTTTAAATATATGATAAATATATATAAAACTGAGAGATAAGGGTTGCTCCATTGACTGTTCAAAGTAATGACTCTTCAGTGTGGATAATTCAATAAAGGGGCCAAATTTCACTCAGATTTGACCTGGAATAACTCAAATGATGCATCAGATTCTGGCTCTCTCTGCAGCTCACCAGGCAGGGGAGTTCTGCCAATTCTAATGTGAGTGATTTAGTGGCTGTCTGTGACAAGAAGGCACTGGCACACTTCAGTGTATTGGCCTCATAATCCTGCAATCATCTTAATATTAAATACAGAATGTATATAAATATAAAGAAATGTTTGTGTTGTTTGCAGCAAGGGCAGCACTGCTGACGGGCCGGCTCCCGGTCAGGAATGGYTTTTACACCACAAATGGACACGCCAGGAACGGTAGGAGCCTCATTCCTCTTCTCCCTTCCTCTCTTGATTTCCCTCTGTGCCCTGTAGGAAGTTTCTCTGTGGACAAAGGAGATCTTCCCCTTGGATTTTTCAGAGCAGCACCAAAAATTGTCCCTGCTAAGTGCTGGTAATRAGCATGAAATTCATTGCTTCCTCCTCATCGAGCAGAAAACCTCCTCAAATGAAGAGAATAAASCAGGCTGGTTGATCCATTTGTTTCTGCTGGCTGAGAAATGTTTCCTCTGGGCAGTGGGTTTGGGGTCTGATGAAGGGAAATCACATGGTGCTGCTGTTAATACCCAGAGGGAAGAACAGGCTGCTCACAGGTTTATTCAGCAGGCAGRTTTCCATCCAGTTTCAGAACAGTTTTACAGCCCTCTGATGCTTCCAGGGAAGATCCCTGGGTKAATTTGGATCCCAGAGTGACAAATGCCACGTGCTGGGACACAGCTGGGCAAGAAGCAGCAGCCAGGGATTGATTCCCAGTGCTGAGATTCTCAGGGGCTGAGACAGAACTTTTCATTTCTTTCAGCTCTTGCAGTCTGGGCAAATTTATTGGTTCTTTGTTTTARGAAAAGCTGCCTTCTTTTCAGAAAATAGAAGGCAAATTTACAACATGAAGACAACACCTAAAGCASCTGATTTTTTCTGACATCCCCTTTAAAAGGGTCTCACCTTCACTCTGAGCTGGCAGCTCCCTTTATTATTTACCCTCGTGCACAAATGGGTGGAAATCTCCCTGTGGTCTCTGGATCAATTTATCCTCTCCATCCCATAGGAGGACTTTCAAGAAATGACATTGCTGGAACTCCAAATTAATTGCTTTTTCTGATCCGATAACACTGCTTTTAATATTAAGTAGCCATGAGCTGTTTGCTGTAATATTTTTAAGAGTCAGAAATTTTGATTTGATTTTTGATTTGTTTCCCACAGCGTACACTCCACAGGATATAGTAGGAGGAATCCCAGATTCTGAATTACTGCTTCCAGAGCTCCTGAAGAAAGCTGGTTACATCAATAAGATCATTGGCAAATGGTAAATTTATTTGGAGRTCTCTTGCTTTGAGATTTCACTCTGTGTGTGTTGGGGAGGAGGAGTAGAAAAACTCAGAATTACAGAAAAAAAAACTGTTTTGAAGCTCAAATGTCCAACTTTGGATTCTGTGATGRATCTTCCCCCCTGCTGGGATCAATTCCTGAGTGTTCCCGTTACAAGTACTTATATATATTTCATACAAAGAGTTGATGGGGTTTTATGTGTTTATTTATATATATATTTAGAAACTCCTCAAATCTGTGCTTTCATCCATACCTCACACCACTTATTCAATGAAAAACCACCAGGATATTCTGTTGGAATTTGCCTTAAGCACCTACATGCTTTTTATCTTTGACTCCTGCTATATGTTGGGTTTCTTGTTAATAAACTGAATTCCTGTGGAAAGTAACAGGAATTTATTTATCAGTTTCATTAACAAGYTGGAGAAGGGTGAGTTTGCATTGTGGTTGGATTCACCTGCTGAAATTGGGAAGAAAGCAAAGCACCCTACGACAGTGAATTATTTATCAGCACAAATCCAAGCAGGAGAGTGGCCCTGAAGAATCAGCTCAGTGGGCTGGGTGCAATAAGCTGCAGTTCAGTGCTAATAAATGTAAATTCATACACCCAGGGAAAAGGAATAAACAAGGCAAATGCAGATTGGTTCCAGTTCTTTGCAAAAAGGCAAATCTGGAAGACCTGCAGCTGTTATCAGGATCAGGACTAAATTGGAATGTGCAGGGCGTTATTGTGCATCCAAAAACTTCTCCTGGATAGGGCTGGGAGTGATACTGAGCAAGTGGGAGTGATTCCTTCTCCTTGGAAAGGTGTAAGGAACTGCAAGGTACCAGAGTTAAATTGCAATATCATCCTGGSCACATGGAGATTTTTAAGGTTTTCCAGCAGAAAATTTTCTTCTTGTTTCATCATCRCTTCCAAAAGCTTTTCAGGGGTCCTGTGACAGTAACTAAATTCCATTTCTAAGCTTTAATTTTAAGTTTGCAAGTCCACTATTTTCTCTGACTAGTATGGAATTTGTTGTGTTTCATTAAATCTCAGAGTTTTGTGCTGTGAGAGGCAGAGACTGATCTGCATCTCAGTTATTGTTTAATGTCTCTCTAAGTTCTCTAAGGGTTTTCTTAGAATAAGAATAATAAATTATCTCCCCTGTTGTAAAAACACCAGGAATATCTTTGTATTCCTGTGTGTGCWAATGGGAAAAGGGTGGAATCCTGCAGGTCAGGCTTGCAGTGSTAGTTACATCCCCAAGCTGTAATCATAGCTGGAATGATGGTTATTTCTGTAATAACTCTGTTTGGAATAGCTCAGAGTAACTCCAAGGATCATTTTACTCCAGGGAATGCATTTTATGCCCTTTATGTTCAGAAAGTGCAGAGGGACTGGCACAAAGTGGACAAGGGGCAGATCCAGGCTCATGAATGGAAGCTGGAATGATTAAATAAGCATTAAGCTACCAAGATTCCCTTTAGAGACAGAGAAGTTGGGTATTCTCTGTCTTCAAGATGCTGTAAATGCAGGAAATGTAGCATTTATTGTACAAAAACTGGAGATTAGAGAGGAGCTTCATCTGGAAGTTAAGGATGGAGGATTYTCAAGCTGCACAGTAGAGAGGAGCTGTCATTGGGAGTAGCTGAACGTGTTTTATGTCCACATGTGYACATAAAAACCTCATTTCATTTCCATTCAGGTCTCTTTGTACCATTTTGGCAGCGTGAATACWCCATAAAGGGGATGAGGATGGAATGGTGCATTTCATGAGCTCTGCCTTGTGTTTTTACAGCTCAGTGGGATAAAAGGGACTTGTCATAGATCAGAATCCTTAAGTAAAACRTTATGTGCATCTCTGCAGTGGTTTGGGGCAGTGTAGTCCAGCAGTGCTGATCATCAGGCAGCATGGGAGAAGACACCAATGGAAGGAAAAAGTGGAAAACTGATTGGAGAGTAAATAAAATGGAATATAAGTGAGCACTGGGGTGAGTCTGCATGRCTGTGCTTGCAACAAGTGTGAGAGAGCTCAAGACACTGCTCTGGAGTCATTGTGATTGAAATGCTTTGTGTTTTTATCATAGGCAAAGACTGTGTTCTTGCATGCTGTTTGATGAGCTGAGTTTCTGCTTCTTTGCAGTAGGATTTTAACTCAATCTGTTGCTTTTGTTGGCAGGCACTTGGGGCACCGGCCCCAGTTCCACCCCCTGAAGCACGGCTTTGATGAGTGGTTTGGATCCCCAAACTGCCATTTTGGGCCCTATGATAACACAGAGCGCCCCAACATCCCTGTGTACAGGGACTGGGAGATGATTGGCAGGTAACTCAGCTTCTTGCCTGGAACTGGGATTTGCTGAGCTCTCCCTGCTGCCATTACAGCTTTATGGGCTTTAGGGTCTCTTCCAACCCAAACCATTCTGGGATTCCATGATTCTGTGGTTAATAAAGATCCAAGACCCACCTGGAAGCTGCATGTGGACAGTGTGGGGATGGAGAGCTGCCCTCCCAGAGCTGTTTGCTCATCCCTGGCACCCCAAAGCTTCCTGGGAGGATTCCACTCCCATTCTGTACTGAAAGACCTCTTTGTTCCTTCTCTTCCTGTTTGGATAATGTTGTGTGTGTTTGTGTAACTCCATTCTGTGCTCCCAGTCTGCAGCCTGTGCCCTTCTTGTCCATTCATTTTTCAATCTGGTATCATCTCATTTCACTGCTGTTACTCCCCTTAGCACTTCCCCAGGCCCTTCTCTCCTTTACTGCTGCCTAAAGATCCCTCTACAATGATTCTTCCCAATCAGCCCCAAGTTCTGCTTCCAGGATTTCTTTCTCACTGAAAGTTGTTGTGTATTTCTGATTTTTTGACTCACATTTCACCCAGCTCTCTATGAAGTCCCATGAGATTTTTAAGCAATTTGCCCCCTTTCTAACAGCTTAACAGCAAAAGGCCAATCCCTCAGGTTTGTCCCAAACTGGAAGTCATTAATTTGGATCGAGCTGTGTCACCACGTTCTCCCATAAGAACAATTATGGTGACATATTTTTAATATCTGAAGAGATTTTGCTGAGTGTGAACTGTGACTTGCTTGTCACCTCCTCACACAGGGGAAAAAATCTTGACAGGAGAAAAAAAATCCTTTTTTGTGATGTATATTCCTTAGGATTGATTTTTTTTCCTCTCTGATTCCTTTTATCTTAAGATACTATGAAGATTTCAAAATTGATCTGAAGACAGGTGAAGCCAACTTGACTCAGCTCTACCTGCAGGTACTATTTTAGTACTGCTTTCTAAGCCAAGGTGACTTTATTTTTTTTTTTTTTTTTTTAAAGAATTCAACAGCAGAGGATAAATTTGTTTTTATTGTTGTTTACAGGAAGCTCTGGATTTTATTAGCAAGCAGCAGGCCAGCCAGCAACCATTCTTCTTATACTGGGCAATTGATGCCACCCACGCTCCTGTTTATGCCTCCAAACAGTTCCTGGGCACGAGTCAGAGAGGGCTGTAAGTGCTGCTTTTGGGGMTGTTGSTTTKYTTKGGGTTATTTTAATGAATGCCTCGTGCTGCAGAAGCAGCCACCCTCAGCAGTGGTTGGTAGATCCAAGARTATGGATCACTCCTCAAGAGTGTGRGTGCTGAAGTGCATTATTTGCYTGGATTATTCTTCCATAATTTGGCTTTAATCTGAACTGAAGATCATGTGGCCCAAGGGGATGGGGGGGGTCTCTAAGCTCCTTTTCCAGTTGTGTGAGGAATGAAATGCTGTCTGTGGCACAGATGATTTTTTAGAAGGCTTTTGTATGATTAGTGCCTGTTTTAAAAGCCTATAAATCAGACAAGCAAATAGAAAAGCACTCCTAAAAATGCAGTTTGGAGGAGGCARAGAGCTCTGTAGACACTGTGAGTGTTGCTTCAAAGAGTTTCTAACTGTAAGCAAAACTCAGTCCGTGGCAAGGTGGGTTTTCCTCTGTTGATGAATTTTATAGCTGAATTTCTCTGTGCAAGAGTGGCTCACACCTGAGCAAATTCTGACCCTCAGTACCCCAGAGGGGCTGCTCTCTGCAGGTAAGAGACACAAATTCAATACACAAARATGTGTAAGAGAAGAGTTTCTGCAGCATGGATCCAAATCAAGCCCACTGAACTCATTGTGTGACCCTTTCTTTGCTGCTCTCAATATTCTGCATCTCATTTTGCCCCAGGTATGGGGATGCTGTGAGRGAAATCGATGACAGCATTGGGAAGATCCTGAAGCACCTGCAGCAGCTGGGCATCAGCCAGAACACCTTTGTGTTTTTCACCTCTGATAACGGGGCTGCCCTCATTTCAGCTCCCAAACAAGGTGAGGCTCAGCTGAACAAACCCAGCCTTGGGAAATCAAGGCTTGGATCTTTCTCTCTGAGGAGAAAAAGACCTGTGTGTGGGCTCTGAGTTATGAGTTAGGAGAAGCCTCAATAGACAGAGTATTTATGYTTAGAGTAATTTATGTTCTGTGCTTCTGGTCACTGGTGGAGGAGGYGTCCTTGGCCAAATGGATTTTTTCCTGCCTCAGTGTTGCTGTTACCTGTGTGTATTTGCACTGTCAGGGAGGGAATAGTCTGTAATTTATTTAGAGCCAGGCTCAGTAACTTAGCAGGGTGTTTATTCTCCATCTGCCAAAAGCATATTTCAGCCTTCTGAGCGATTACAGAGAGTTCAAGAGTCCCTCATTCTTTAGCTCTCATGAAAAATATGAAGAAGAGAAACAATTTTTGTTACCTCACAAGTTCTCCTTTGTTTAAGTGATGGTTTCTCTGAAACAAATCATTGCAAATTGATTTTAGAACCTTCTCTCTTCTCTTTGGAGGCAGAGTTGTCTTGTGGTTATTGAACCATGGAGCAGGGAGTAACCTGAGTTCTGATTTCAGCTCTGGCTTTGACTCTGTGTGACCTGGAATCAGTCATGAGACCTCCCTGGTTGTTCCTTGGCCAGCTGAGCTCCAAGGCTGGGTTAAAATTCCAGATATTCCTGCAAAGCCCTGGCCATCTCTGAGAGTGAACATTCAGGGAATGCAGGATTATTTATCTCACTCTTGYACCTTCATCTAATATTGCTCTGGTACTTTAAAACTTAAAATCATTATGAAGAAATGCTATTTCTGCCTGAAAGTGTCAGATTTCCTTTAGCTGCAGACAGCAGTTAACACCCTTAGAGGGAAGGAAAACACCAGTGAGCTATTTCCTGTTTGTGTTTGGGGTTTGTTTTTCATTTGCTTGTTGATAGAAAGGTGTGTTTAACTGTCACTTTCTCCTTGTTCTGACAAGATGCTCCTAAAATTTCATCACAAATGGATATTGAAAAAAAAAAAAACAAACCCACAACACAACAAACAAGAAAATAATGACAAAAACCCCAACTCTGGACATGTTGTTTGAAGAAGCATCCATGCAGAAATGAGAATTTATTTGAAACCAGCCTGGGTGACAGTGTCCTTTTGAAATGCTGGTATTTTGTGGGGTTTAAGGCTTCTTTTCTGTGCCTAGGAGGAAGCAATGGKCCTTTCCTGTGTGGCAAACAAACCACCTTCGAGGGTGGCATGAGGGAGCCAGCCATTGCCTGGTGGCCCGGCCACATCCCTGCAGGAGGGGTGAGTATCTGCTTTTGGCAACCCTCAGCACCCTTGGGTGCACTGCAGGGAGTGCAGGGRTCCTTGCTGGGCTCAGTGGGCTTTGCTCCACACTTTTAACATGCCCAAAGTACTGGTGTTTGTGTAAGTGAGGAGCTGTAAGTGAGAAAATGAGGCCATTTGAATGCAGATTTGCATTTAGAGGGTCTGTGCTCAGCTTTGCTGTGAGCACCCAGGGTCTGCTCCTGTYTCCCTGCTCTTTTCAAACCCTTTACTCCTTTGGACCTCAGTGTTTGAATGGAGTATAAAGACACTGCTCATGCTGTCCCATTCCAGAGCAGGAATTTGTTATCCCCACTYTCCATGCCCTGAGGTATTGAGTGCTTTGACCCTCACATCTCTCATTTTGGTGCTTGATGAGAGTTCCACTCAGACAGCACACGATTGCTCTGTGCTGCCTGTACACAAATGCAGATATGATCACTTCAAAATAACCCCCAGTGGCACTGCCAGCCCCCCTTGTCCCAGCTCTCATTATGGGAGGATGCAATCAATCCTGCTGCAGGCTGGGATCACAGGGATAGCACAGCCCCCTCCCCTTGATGAGCATCTCTCAGCCCTGAAGAAAGTGATCCTTCATTAACTGGGCACTGTGCTTGAGCCTGCAAACTGTTCATAAATAAAACATTTCTCGTTGGAAGTTGCATTCCATTGGGGTGCTTTAATTGARGCAGGCTAATGATAATTTATCATTTACATTTAGGAGGCAGCTCAGATCTGCAGCTGAGGGCAGGAGGGTGGTTTGGTTTCATTATTTTTCAAGAGTTCACCAAACCTACCAAGGATGGTTTATTATTTTTCTAATTTGAAATGAAAACAGTCTTTTTGTTTAAATTTAAACATTTCCATAAAGCCTTTGCAAGCCAAGTACAACAGCCCTGGGCTAGCAAAGGAGAACATGAAACTGCAGCTGAGTGTTTTGTTTGCTGGGTCCAAACTAAATAATGTGCTAAAAGTAAACATGCATTATAAATGGGGAYGAGAAAATGCCCAAATTTAAAAATTCTTTCCATTGTAGTAACTCTGAGGATAATTAAGAACAGGAGGAGAGAGAAATCCTCGTGCCTGCTTCTTTTCTGGCTGGCTGGAACGCCTCTCCCAGGTAGTTTTTGGGAGCTGCTGCTTGAATTCCTGGGAAAAGGCATTGTGTTTGCAGGATGGGTTGGACAGCTGAGCTGCAGAGTGTGCCTGGAGCTCCCAGATTTTGGGATGCACCCGAAATCCCTTCTCCACCATGCCCACATCACCCTGGAGCACGGGCTGAGCTTTAACCCCTCATTATCCTGGGCTCCAGCTCGTGATGCTCCCCATGCCAGGTGGGTGCCCAGGCTCCTGGTGCTCCATGGGCACCTTGGGAAGCTGCTGCTGATCTCCCTGCCCAGGATATCCTGCTCTGCTCCCTCCCAGTTAAACCCAGKGGGATGTCCCTGCTCAGTGACTGTGTGACAAAAACTCACCTGTGTTTTCTGCTTGTGTTCTTGCCTTCGAGGCTCCAGCACTGCTCCCTCAGCAGCCCTGACCACAGGTGAGAGACAAYGTGTCCACCACTACATTTTTGGATTTTTTTTTGTATTTTCCTGTAGCTCACCACCCTCTGGATGAGTTTTAACTCCTCAGCCCAAGTCCTGTGCACTYCAAACAGCTGTAAAATGTGGGATAACTTCTTCAAAGTCTCGTTGCTCCTTTTAAAGAGTTGAAGGAAACAAAGCTGAAGGGTCAGCTCCTTCCTGTGCTGGGTTTGCTGCCAATGCTGTTCCTTTCCAGCCCTGGGTTTGAGGAGCAGGGGAAGGAAGGGCCATGAACAGCTGGCACCAGGAAAAGAGGGCTCATGTCACTGGCCAGTAAAATCCAGGGTAGAAAGCTCCTTCTGCTGATGGGAATGCTCCAGGGAGACCTCACTGCAGCTGTTAATGGACTTTTCATACAGGCAGATAGTGCCAGGACAAGGGGCAATGGCTTCCCACTGTCAGAGGGCAGAGTTAGATGGATTTTGGGAAGAAATTGTTCCCTGTGAGGGTGGAGAGGCCCTGGCACAGGGTGCCCAGAGTAGCTGTGGCTACCCCTGGATCCCTGGCAGTGCCCAAGGCCAGGCTGGATGGGGTTTGGAGCACCCTGGGACAGTGGAAGGTGTCCCTGTCCATGGCAGGGGTGGCCCTGGATGAGCTTTAAGGTGCCTTCCCACTCAAACCATTCCAGGATTCCATTATTCCACCTGGCACTTTATTAATAATTGTATTGCTATATAATTTGGGCTTTTTTATTATCTATTAAAGAGCACATTTGAGTGCTGCAATAAAGGAGCATCTCTTGATCTAAACACAAGCAGTGAGGGGACAGGGTGGGAGCACCTGCCAGGCTTTGGAGCTCGGGTTAATTGGTGCAGTTGGCTGGTTTGCAGGTTTTTGGAAGAGGAAGATGCCTCAGGAGTGTGTGTTGCTCTTGGCATCAACACTCAGTGAGTTCTGGTCCCCCATCAGGAATATTTATCCACACACAAACAGCCTTGCTGCACTTCCCTCCTCGGCTCCGTTTTCCAGGTGAATTCACAACAAATCAGCGTTTCAACATTCCCCACATCACATCTGCCTTCTGGAAGGATCCAGCTGGAAAAAAAAAAAAATCATATTCTGTTGGTATTTGAATCCTCCTCCTCTCTCCCCTCGCCCTCCTCCCCTTCCTCTCTCGTGCCTGCTTCCTGAAGGAGAAAAGAACATATCAACCCAAAGACAGCATTGCAACCTTTTCTTCCCTATCTCCCATGGGGCGCAAATTGAAATTGAATTAGACAGGGATATCAGGTCTGCTCGCTGTGATAACTGTAAAAGGATTTTATTTAAAAACACCCTGACATTTGTTCACCCAGTTTCAAATATTTAGCTTTCCTCCTTTCCATTCCTGGCGGGGGCGACTTTATTAATTGTCGCCTTTGATTCAGAGTTAAAGCTTGAAAGAGCTGATAACAGCGCTGGGGACTATTTCTTCCAGCGCYGTGGCCCACAGCAAAAGGATTTCATTTTCTTAAAGACGTTGTGTGGATACTGAGAGTTTATTAAAAAGAAGGGGGGGAAGGAGGGGGGAAAAAAAAAATCCGTCCTTACGTGCGTAATACCGGCTGTTCCTCACTGATACAGCAATATCTGATCTCCCTCCGTTTATATATTATTTATTTTCTCTGGGCTGTTGCCCTCTCCGGATTTTTCTTTTTCTTTTCTTTAAAAAAAAATGAAATAAATAAAGGAAAGGCAACTAGAATGAAAGGGCCCTGTTGACAGGAGAAAAATGGTAATTTTTTTATTTTTTCTCTGAAAATACTTCAAAGTTTTATATAAATATTAACCTTTTTTTTTTCCCCCTTTTTCCTTCTTCAATGTGGTGCTGCAGAGCACAGATAAATCCAAGTGGCTGTGGCATGGGCATTTAATTTCCTTAAGAAGTTTTCTCTGCTTCACGGCAAAAATGTTGTCTGAGACCAGAAATGTAATTGGATGATTAAAGAGAGTCATCTACATCTGGTGCTGGTTAATAAGGGCCAGGACAAGGGGAGCGTGGTGGCCCCCCAGGATTGTCCCCACGTGCTGGATGAATGAGGTGACATTAAAGGCACGAGCCTGAGGTCAGCCATAGCCTCTTATCAAAAGATTGAGGCGTGGGGATGGAGCTACAGCAGCAAAAGTGACTTTGGGATGTGCTGGGGAAATGGTGAGAGCTCTGATTACACGAGGGCTCAGCCAGGACTGGCTCCTGTGTGAGCTGCAGGGGCAGGAGGGGTGGGATCTGCTCCTCCTGGAGCTCTGCAGGTGGGGATGAGCTGAAGGAAGAGCTCATGGGGGCTTTGAGCATTTCCAGGGATGAGGCAACCACAGTTTTTCTGGGAAACATCTCCCTTCATCCTTCCCATCCCAAGGACAGGCTGAGCAGGACTTTTCCCAGGCTTATCCCAATTTATCCATGGATAAATCCTGAACTCCAGAACCCAGAAACTGTTGATCTCAGTCAACTGATCCAGCAGCTTTCCCAAGAATTTCCAGGCTTCCTCTTGTGYTTGAAGCTTTGCACTTTGTTTCCTCCCCAGGAATTGTGGCAGGATTCTTGCATGCAGCTTTAATAAGATGTGTTCCTGCCAACACCTCCTGATGAATGAAAGCCATTAAAAATTGAAATGACTGTAATCAAGTAATGTGATATTGTAATGTTAAACTTGTAATTAGGGCCCTGCATGTTGCTTTCTCCAGTTCTTTTTTTTCTTTTTTTTTTCAAACTTCTTAATTCTTCCTTTGTTCATCCCAGTCTCTTAATACAAGGTTTAATGTCCCAGGAAAAATAGCATTTTTCCTTTATTTWTTTTTCCTCTAAAGCCAGCATCTCAAAAAAATTCATTTATCATGTCATCATTTGTGGTATTTAAGTAATTAAWGTCAGCTTAGAGGCTGGGGGTCTGTTTGTGAGTGGAAGGATTCGGAGGTAAAAAGTCTTTGATAGTCCCAGCATTGTTCTGTTGGGATTGGGCTTGGATTCCAGTCAGAAAATGCTTCTGGACTCACAGATGTGGGGTTRTATCCAATGGTTTCTTGTTTCCCAACAAGTGAAATGGCTGAAAATGCTCTTTTCATGTCACATCTCGTGCTGGTGCATCCTGGYGCTCTCGATTTAGAAGTATTGCTTWAATGTWGTGTGTCACTGACTAATTAAACACCCTACAACAGCTCCCACAATCAGGGTGGGAGCAAAGATTCASAAAGAATCAGGCAGAACAGACTTTGTAGGGTTTTAAAATATAAATAATTAAGAGCAGAGAGATGACTATGGATTCCAAGTAAGGAGAAAGGGGGGAAAAAAAACCCTTGCACATCTCCATTGAAGCCAAACCCAGATGTTTTTCTCCCTTATTAAAATATGGACTAAAAATACCACAACTTTACAGTTCTTGAATTGTTGGAAATGGTTTGCAGATGAAGTCATCAGGCTCTTTTTGTTATTATCCATCTATCCCTGTGCTTTCTGGGAACTCTCTCAGGGTATTCTGGACTGCAGAGATGACCTGGAAAAGGGAACAAATCAAAGATTTTTTTTTCCTTGGTGTAAGTGCTGATTTTTCAATCCACAAATGAGCTGGAATTTGCTAAATTAAGTTGAACCCCGCAACAACACGCTCCTGGAAAATGGATACACAGGAGTGAGGAGAGGGAAAGTGGGAAAAATGAATCAAAATGCAAATTCTCCCTGGAAGTGGAGAAATAGGAATTGTTTCCTTTGCTTTATTATTTTCAAGGAGTTTGCTGGTGACTGCAGCAGTGTAAAGGGAGAGATGCTCAGGGAGCTTTGGAGGGAACCTGTTTCCATGAGGATTTTCCTGAAGGGCTCTTTGCAGATGCATTTCTGTTGTTTTTTTGTTGTTGTTGCAGGTCAGCCATCAGCTGGGCAGTGTGATGGATCTGTTCACCACCAGCCTCTCCCTGGCGGGTCTGCAGCCTCCCAGTGACAGACAGATTGATGGCATCGACCTTTTACCTGTCATCCTGCAGGGCAAGCTAATTGACAGGTCAGTTATTATCCCTGAGCTGCCAGCCCTGTTCCTGCCTGAAGGGATGCCAAATTTGGGGCTGGTTTCTTTTTTTTTTTATTTTTTTTTTTTTTAACACAAGCTCACAAATATTGATGATGAACTGAATGGACACAGCTCTGCTCCCCCTCCGTGCTTCCCCCTGCTCTGCTGGAACAAGCTGAGGTGGGAATTCCTGACATGTGGCATGTTGCCATACAGTGGAGTCTGGGGACAGATGAAAATGTCACAGGGTTAGCAGGGATCCCTGGAACAACATATGGCACTAGGGGAGATAAAAGCCTGAGAACTGGAGCCTGGCTAGGGGACAATACATTATTTATCACTGGAAAAGCRGCTCAGAGTGTGCTGGGTCCTTGTCCTGCTGGAGGCTGTGCTGCTGCAGGGGTCCTGGAAAAACAGCCCTTCCCAAGGTCTGGGTCTGGGGGTGCTCCTGCAGGGACAGATTGGGGTGACAGACCTGGAATCATTATGTACTGACAGCAAATATCCTATTTTATTGCAAGTGTCAGAGGTTAAGAGAGGTCTTGGAAGTGGGATTTTGCTGAGGAATTTGGCAGCCAGGGAAATCTGGCTACAATCATATTCTTGGGGAGATGGCAAAGAAATTTAAGCATGGAAGCATTTTTTGAGCTCTTCTCATTGTTGGATGAAAGCCTTTGTGCTGTGAAATTCCTTTTGTGCCTGTTAAGCAAGGAGCACACCTGAGTGTTACCTGCAGGAGCTTTGCAGGTTCCACAAAAACAGCCTGGCCCATCTTCAGGAAGTTTGTGAAGCTTCTAGAACTTGGTTTTTTTTAAAGGGAATTGCATTGTTCCTTTGGTGCTGTTTGTGTTCCAGTAACATTCATTCAAAGCACATTGTGGCTTTTTTTCATTCTTTTTTTTTACCCCACCAGACCTGACCAGGACAAAGTTTTCACAGCCCCCAAAAAACTTCACAGGAGATGCAGTTGCTGTGATCTTTTAAGCTTAAGGATGAAAAAGTGGATGGGGGGTAAAAGTCAGAATAACATAACAGAATATTGAGCCCAAGCTGGAATCCTCCTTCAAAATGGGAAATACATATTTTAAAAAGGGAAGGCCTAAAACCTTTAGTCAGAGGGCCACATAACTGGTCAAGTATTGGATGTTGATGGCAAGGAAAAGGAGACTGCAGTATTTTGGGGAATATTTTTGGGAGATTTTTGTTGATGGGACTGGTTCAGATCAGGTGCTGCACTTTGGCAGGTCCCTCACTACCTTTATTTCACTTCCAGCTGTGTTAAGGATGCAGGAATGGGCACTTCTGGGAGCAGCTTTCCYTCCTTCCTGGGACAAAGTTGTTTCCTCTTTGTTCCTGGTGGCAGCTCCTGGTGACAAAGGAGGGAGGCTCATTGTTTGTGTGAGGCTAAAAGAGCTCTAAGGCCACTCCTGTCATTCACACAGGGATATTTAAATTTCACCTTGCATTTAGGGACAGGTTTTTCAAGGTGGCATTCCCACAGTGAGTCGTTTCTAATTTAGAGAGTGACATTTGAGAGGGAAAGACAAAGGTACCCCCCTGACAGTGACAAACAGCTCCATCCTCGTTTCCTATCAACAGCCCAAAACAGCTGGAGAGAGGAGCTGACCTCTTGTGAGGAGCTGCACCAGCAAATTAACCCCCTCTCCTCAACATAATCCCTTCCAGTAAAATTTTGTGCAGTTCCCTAAAAAAAACAGAGGATTGTTTTGCCGGGAAAACCAACAGGAACGTTGTGGGATGCCCAGGGAAGAGCACAGATGCAGCGAGTGAGATGCATTTCCCGGATGAATTATTAATTAGGGAAACCTCTGGGAACGAATGCAGCTTTAGCACTATGTTTACATGCTGCAAAGTGAGGTTTGGGGGCAAAAAAAAAAATGGAGAGGAGTTAAAAACACAGCGTGTCTGGCTGCCAGGTTTTTCCATATGGAGTTTCTCGGAGATGTCATCCAGAACACGCCAGCATCTGGTGTCCTCCTGGCCACCCTGTCCGTGTGACACTGACAGCTTGATGGCAGAGCTGTGGAGCTGCCTTGGTGCTGCTGGGAAACGGGGACTGAGCATCCCAGAGCTCGAGAATCCCATTTTTTTTCCCCTCCCACCCAGGCACTTGAGAGCCGCTTGACGTTGAAACCGCCACGCTCCAGAGGAAATCCCAGGGGCTGAGAGTTCAAGGATTAACAATCACTGGCAGCCAAGCTGGATAATGTTTCATTCTTGCACCGTGTGAGCTCTCAACTTGATGAACACTTTAAGAAATGTTAATTGAAAACCTTGCAGAGGAGACTGTGAGGAGGCAGCCTGTTCCTGCCTGATATCCACATGGGAAGTGGGATGCCATTAAGGGGTTTGTGGTTTTATCAGGAGGCTGRGCCCAGGCTGTTGGCATTTCTCACACAKCTCTGCTCTCCTTCCCAGGCCTATTTTCTACTATCGTGGCAACGAGCTGATGGCAGTGAGAGCTGGGCTTTACAAAGCTCACTACTGGACMTGGAGCAACTCCTGGGAGGAGCACAGCAAGGTAACAACACCAGGATCTGTCCTGGAAGTCACCTTTAAACTGGGAGATGTCACCATGCTTCAGTCTCCTCAGAGCTACCAGAGCTGCTGTGCAGGTTTATGTTGGATWTTCAGAATATTTCTGCTCCAAAAGGATTGTTCAGCCCTGGCACAGCTGCCCAGGGAGTTGGTGGAGTCCTAATCCCCCGATTTGACAGCCATATGGATGTGGCACTTGGGGACACGGGGCAGTGGTGGCCTTGGCAGTGCTGGGGGAACAATTGGACTGGATGATCTTAGAGGATATTCCAATTGAAATAATTCTATTATCATAAAAAAGTCCAAGGGGACTGGTCTACCACCCCCCTCTCCTGAAATCAGGGACAAGGAGAGGAAAATGAGTAAATTCCATGTTGTTCTGAGGGATACTCCCTTTAATCAGCACTTAATCCCCCTTAATATTAAACTTCTTTCCCTGCTGAATTCTGAGCTTTTAGGTGTTCCCTTATGGTTGGACTCCTGATCCTTGTGGGTCCCTTCCAGCTCAGGATATTCTGTAATTCTGGGAAAATCTGGATACCACACTGACCATGTGTCTCCCAATTCCCAGCACAAAACACCTGCTGCCCCAAACTATTGAAATGGAACTGGGGTGAATTTGTGGGGTTTGTGATGGTTTGAAAGGAAAGCTGTAGGAAAGAACAGCAGTGGTTGAAAACAGTCAAATACCTGTGTTTCATCTGTTATCAGCAGCTCTGTGAGCCCRCATCACACTGTGTGTAACATTTCATTTCTTTTCTTTATTTCCTGGCTGATCTCCTCACAGTTAGATGTCAAGCACTGTTATTTCCTTTTCTTTCTGTACCTTTCTTAGGCTCTGAACTCTGGGGCATTTGCTGAGTGGCAGCTTCACACGTGTGCCTTGCTGGTGATACCTTTAGACAGGAGCCCAGTGCATTAAAGCCCAGCTCTCAGCAGCCCTGACAGCAGCCTGGGCTTGGGGAGGGATTGTTTGCATGATTTATTTTTTATGCCTGTTTTTTTTTTTTAACTTATGGAAGGTCCTCAAGGCATCACAGGTGCAGAACTAAGTGCTGGTGACATTTGTGGATATAAAAGTGCAGGGATTCTTTCATTGGGATGTCCTGGGGGTAGAAGGAAGCGTCAGCTCCGAGGGAATCATTTGCATTCAGGGCTGTAAATGTGTGTGTTTGTCTTTTCTCAGACTGCAATGCTCCAGGAGTCAAAGCTTGTTTTACAGGGAGCAAGGAGGAAAGGGAAAGTTGGCTCTAGAAATGTATTTTATGTTCTGTCTCAGTGCTAATTCCACMCAGATAAAATGAAATAATTTATCTGTCTTGTGTTTGAGTGAAACCTATTTATCACCCGTGGAGGATTTTCCCTGAGTGGRAGACACTGGGGAGCTCCTCTGGCTGTGTGTTTGGGTGTAGGGATGGCCTCCTGCTTTTCCCACGTGCATGRCACATTCCCATGTGAATTCTCACTCTCCGTGGTGATAAAAGCACATACCCACACTGCCAGCCCAGTTGGGAAATAAATAAATGTTCCCCTCGGTGGAACTGAGCTGATTCCTGCRTGTCTGAGTGTGTAACAGTGATAATGGGGACCAGCTACTCCTTCCCCAGGCTCTCCCACTGYGAGCAGTGGCAGTGCTGCAATTAAGGAATATTTATTTCTTCCCAAGTCTTTGTTTAACTGCTGTCTGATAAAAGTCAGCAATTATCCTGTACATCAGAGAGACGATTACAAATCCACTCTCTTTCCTGCAGCTTGGATCACATGAGCTTGATGTGGGGAAAATTGGAGCACATTAGTGGCCAGAGCAGCCATTAACAACATGCAGAGGAAGCTGAGGCTGAGATTTGTTCCAGTTCTCCTCATGTCCTCGAGCCATTAATTACAAACCTCGCAAGTTTAAAAATAGAAATAAATCAGAATGCAGAGCAGTTCCACAGTTCCCAGCCCTGCTGGAGGAGTTTCTAAGCTCACCTTAMAACACAGTTCCCTCTTTCAGTGCCTGGGCTTCCCAGCTGTGTTGATATTGGACTCTAGAATCAAAAAGGCCACTTTGTTTGCTAATTCTATTCGAAAAATAAATATAAATCCATGCACATCTGTGGCATTTGGAATTCTGACTGTTGGCCTGTTTGTTCAATAARTTTGATTTGCCATCCCAGTAGAGCTCCAGCTAATGAGGATTTGTTAATTGTATGATCCTTTGAGGTCTTTCCTCATTGTGAATTCAATGAAACTTCCAGATATGAAACTCTTTGTGCCTGAAGGTCCCCACTCAGAACTGGAATATGTGGTTTTCACAGCATCCACTGGAAAGAGAGCTGAAGCTGGCCAGATGTGGTAAAACAGCTGCCTGCCCATTTTGAAGWGGTTTGTTTTATGAGTAGGTGAATATTTCATGAGTTTGACAGRCAGGGTTTAAGCCAGACCTCCTTTCACCTTCAGAATTCCCTYGGTAATTGACTGTGTGGGAAATTATTGATACAGAAAACTTGCCCTGGGTTTAATCCACATTTTTGTTTGACTTTCAGATGAGATTATCCCATAAGAGCAGCCAGAGCCCCATTTTCATATTGATACTGGGAAATGGGGAGCTGGTGCCTTATCCTGGGTCTGCTTTGGGGTGAGCAGGATGGGTGAGGGAGGATGTGGCCCCTCACCTGCAAAGCTGTGTTTGCCTGGGGTGTGAGTGAGTTCAGCCATAAAGAATGTACACACAAATAAAAAGGTACCAGAGAGACACAGCCTGCAGAAAAGCACAGCCCAGGAAAGCAGAGCAGGGATCTGAAGGCTCCTCTCCATATGGCACTCGGAATATTTACTCTGGAAACATCCCATGCAAGCAGCACACAGGTTTACAGTCATCCTCAGGTCCCATGACAGTAACATGCCCTTACTGGYCTGCATCCTCTGCCTTATGGCCTGGGATTAGGACTTGTCATCTGACACACAGATGAATTGTGCTGTTCTGTTCTTCCCAGGTTTTGTTTGTTTATTTTTTAACCCCCAAGCAGTTTTTTTTTTCTAGTCTGACTCCTGTCAGGAAGTCTTGTATTCTCTCTCAGTGCTGGAGGATACCTTGATGCTGCCTTTTCTGCTGGATTAACTGGATTTCTTGATTCTTGAGGTGGGGGATGTCTCTTGAAAGCATAAAGGGAAGGCTCTCTCCACAGAATCAAGTGGCAGTAAGCATTTTGTGGGGACATTTTCCCTGTGGATTGCACAGGATGCTTATTTGGAGCTATTTACCTGGCTTCCATCTATATAGGTGGCTCATGTTTACATAATTTGACATCTCTGACATTCAAGAGGTGATAAATGGGACAGAGGGAGATGAAAGGAAGCCTGACTTGAAAAATGTGTTTGTATTTTTAAATAGTTTGATAGAGGCTGAGAAATCTCCCTCCTGCACACGGGCTGAGTCCCTGGTGCTCTGGGGCTGGTGGATATCAAGCTTTTCCATTGTTGTTCACCTTCTTTTCTTGTAGCAAAAATCAGCAGTGATAAAAACAGCCRAGTGTGCTGGGGCAAAGGGAGAACTAAGGACAAACCTGGGGAGATCCCTCCTGAACATTGTAACACATAGGAAGTCAAAGTAAAATGCTGGGTGGTTTTGAAAGTAGAGGTCTGAAAGGGGGAAAAATGTGTGTTTTCTATACATTTACCTGAGTAGGCAGCAAGTCCTTAGGAATTTCCTCATTTGATGCTGCGTGGAGGAGGCAGGAATGGGAGGTAGCAGGAGAAAGGAAATTTCCTTTTCTTTGCCTGTCACCACCAGTGTCCAGCACAAAACAGCACTGGTACCTTCCAAGAGCACTGGTGCAAGAAGGACAAAAAATAATTAAGAAAAAAAACATGGAAAGCACCCTTTGGTTGTGGGAGAGGGACCAAAAACATCAACCTTTATGCTGTCAGCTCGTTCGGAGCTTCGGTGGCTTTAAAGGCGGGGTGGAGGCGCCTGCCGGCAGCCGCTATTGTTTTAATGCAAAATGCCAAAGGGGTTATTCCAGTCAGGCTCCGTGATTGCCCTTCTCCTCCACGTGAAGGGATCGATAAAGCCTTTTCTGCGCGGGGAGGATGTGAAGTCAAGTAGAACCTCACAAATAATGACATTTGATCGTGGTCCTCTGAGCACATGAAGCAGCCATCGATCGGAGCTGGCTGAGCTGCCCATCTCCRGGGGCTGCCCATCTTCGGGGGCTCTTCCAGCCTCTTAACACATTAGAAGCAATTTTAGGTGCAYGGGGTTGGAGCTTGGCACTCGCCCTTGGAGGTGATTGCACATCCCAAGGAGGATTTCACCGAGAATGGCTGGGAGAGTAAAGACACCATTTCCCTTTGCTGTTGAAAAGAAAAAAAAAAAACAAAAAAACACCACCATTGCAGGCTTTAATTAACAGCTGTGCTTTTCTCCGTGCAATATTTTGGTGCCCTGGCTGGTGGAACGAGGAGCCTGGAGCAGCAGGCTGGTGTGGCTCCAGCCCGAGGTGCCTGCTGTCAGTTGGAGCAGGCTGGGCTGGAGCCAGGCTCAGCAATTGCCAGAGGGCTCCCGTTAACACAARTGGTGATTCCATCTCTTGGCCGGGAGCCCAAACTGGCAACCGGCTGTGTTTGTCTCATGTCTATATTGACACAGCATCTGTGGGCCATTTGCTCTGGAAATTAAAGCTGTGCAACTAAAGGCTGCTGCATCCCAGGCGTGGAAAAACAGCGCTGGTGGGATGATGGCTGAGAAGGACAGGGATGGGTGATGGCTGAAAGATTCATCTGGTGGGCAGGGAATGCTGTTTTAATCAGAGAAATTGAAAGGGAAGGAGTGTTGGGATTTTTCCTGCAGCAAACTGGTTTGTGCAGGGGTGCAAAGTGCTCAAGAGCTGGGCAGGGGCTGAGCTGGTCTCGGTTCCACTCCTCCAGGCAGGAGGTGCTCCAGACAGGAGATTGTGGTTTGGCTTCCGTGGTTTTGTGACAGAGGAGGAGAAAAGCTCCAAGAGTTTGCTGAAAACTGAGGAGTGAACTTTGTGCTGTGTTTGATCAGGGATTTYCTGCAAACCCCAGAATCCTGGAGGCTGGAAAAGSCCTCCAGGGTCACGGAGTCCAAGCTGTGACCAATGCCCAGGTCTGAGCAGTGAGTGCCAAATCCAGTCCTTCCYTAGACCCCTCCAGGGATGGGGACTCCATCCCTGTTTTTAATAGTTATTATTAGCTGTTAATTTCATTTTTAAAATTTCATGATTAAAATTTCATTTTTCTTTTTCTCATTTGTTGATGAACAGGTAGAATAACCGTTGAAGCTCTCTCTGCAGGTTGAATATTGGCTCTCACACAGTACATAAAAATAGCAATAGTCCATTTTATTTGCAGGAATAAACTTGGAATGCCTTAGAAATGTCATARAATGGTATGCTTGGGGGTTTATTTATTTACCTATTTATTTATTTGCTTATCCCCACTAGACTGCTTTTGAAGAGGGCACTGAGTGTTTAAATTAGAATGACAGGTAGCTTTGGGCTGGTGGCATCGGGCAAATTGTCCCAGCACTTTCTTTCCTGGGAATCTTTGGGCTTGTGTTCTGGAATCTGGGCTACAAGGATTTCCTGGGAAACACAAGATAAAATAGAAACAGAGCAATGTCTAAACAAACACCCGAGAGACGAAAATCTTTCACACTGAAGCRTTTGCAGCCGAGGAGCATTGTACCAATTAGCAGGCTCTTAATTAAATTGCTTGTTTGATTTGCATCCAAATTATAATTTGGATGTTATGGAGGCTTTGATACCTTTTCATTAACTGGTCCTTTTGTGGGAAAAAAAATAAAAAACCACAAAAATCTCTTTTCCCTGTGTGTTTCAGAGGCCTGTGGCGTCACAGGGTGGAAAGGTCAATCAGTTTTGTATCCATTTAAAGTCCATTATTGGTAGGGCCACTCCAACCTATCAAGCAACTCCCTTATTTTTCCAGTCAGTGATTCAGGAATCTATAGCTCTGTGCAGATAAATGGGATTTCATGGGCTTCTAAACTTCTTGCTTTATTGAAAAGCAGAATATTAACTGCTCCACTGACCAGCTGTCCATTAAAAACACGGGATATTTTTAGAAAATTGTTTGCCAATCAAATCCTACCAACATCTGTAGAGAGCTTTTTCAGTTTGTTTTATAAGCAAATGCTCCAGCTGCCCTCCCATTCCCATTGAAATGTTCCCATTTACCTGCTCTCCATGTCCCTGTCCGTGTCTCGGGGCACTTTGGGGGATTGTRAGGAACAGCGTGGGAGCTGGAATTGTAAAACCCAGCTTTACCAAACCCATTTGGGGCCGGGCCTTGCCGGGCTGGGGGGTGCTCTGCCTTATTGGCTGCTCAGGGAAATGAGTGTTTTTGCATTTTTGGCTCTTGGCTGGGTTGGAATGGGCTCTGTTGGCCCTGGAGGCTGCAGTGCAGGGATTAGGGAGCTCCTGATGGGGCTGCGGGCAGCTGGAAGGGGCTGGCAGCTCTGTGTTTAACCCCCCTTTAACCTGCTCTTAACCCTCCCCTTTAACCAGCCCTTAACCCTGCTTTAACCAGCCCTTAACCCTCCCCTTTAACCAGCCCTTAGCCCCCCTTCAACCAACCCTTGACCCCACTAACCAGCCCTTAACCCCCACTTTAACCAGCCCTTAACCCGCTTTAACCAGCCCTTAACCCTGCTTTAACCAGCCCTTAACCCGCTTTAACCAGCCCTTAACCCTCCCCTTTAACCAGCCCTTAACCCTGCTTTAACCAGCCCTTAACCATCCCCTTTAACCAACGCTTGACGCCACTAACCAGCTCTTAACCCCCTTTAACTAGCCCTTAACCCTCCCCTTTAATCAACCCTTAACCCTGCTTTAACCAGCTCTTAACCCCCTTTAACCAGCCCTTAACCCTCCCCTTTAACCAGCCCTTAACCCACTTTAACCAGCCCTTAACCCTGCTTTAAGCAGCCCTTAACCCTGCTTTAAGCAGCCCTTAACCCTCCCCTTTAACCAACCCTTGACCCCACTAACCAGCCCTTAATCCTGCTTTAACCAACCCCTAATCCTGCTTTAACCAGCCCTTAACCCTCTTTAACCA